TACGTCTCTAAGTAGAACGTTTGCTTGTTTTCTCGCGTGATACAGAAAGATTCGGACACCCTGTGTATTGATTAGCAGCGGATTAGATTATTCAATATGAGGTAAAGCGCGAATGATCGGCGTGTAATCGCGAGGTACGATTGCTCGCGATAACACAAGAAAAATAGTTTCATCCTGCCATCCTATTATCTTTGCACCGTGTAAAACTTCGTTTAACGAATGGACGATCGCGAAGATTGATTAACAATGCATTGATCGAAAGCCACGTTTCGATATGATTTCTCAATACAACGCTTTCAGGATCCAATGATATGTCCTAGCAACCAATGATCCAACAACATCACAACAATATTTAACTGTCTAAAACAATTGCTCGTTGATCACTGATGAAACAGGAAGTATTTAAAAAGAAAAAAAGGCCTGTAAAATCTTATGTACCCCGTCAATGACTAGCTTAAGGTATTATGCATACATATACATATACATATATATAGATATGTATACCTATACATATATCTATATACATCTATATATATGCATACGTATATATAGATATATGTATATAGATATATAAATCTTGTTTTGTTTTCTTTTAGAGTAAACGATTCAATGGCAATGCGTGATTCCATAAAATTTCTGCACAAGAGGGCCACCTCTGGCTGTTCTACTAGCACTTCATGAACGTTTCGATGATTCAGAATTTTTTTTTTGAAACCTCGCTGACCGGCGACGGTGATCTCAATTTTCCAAGAGAGAAACCTGACCGCCCGACTGTCGTGTGATAACAAAACGGTAACAATATTTAAAATATAATTTACTTCATATAACAATGACGATCTAAAAGAGTTCGACGCCGAGGAGTTTGTTCTTTTTTTGTTCTAAAAGAATATTAAACATTGAAATGCCGATAAAAGCAGTGTGTCCAAGCGCAGTCAGCGAAGGCTGTAAAACAGAAATTGTTCTCTCGGAGGGACTGGGGGTTGACGTGTCAAGCGCACCCCGACTCATTGCAAATCCCGGGTGTAAACTGTGTCGTGGACGGGACCCACGGTGGGATGCTTGCAGCCGAGATGGGGTGGAAGGGGCGGGCTCAAGCGATCCTTGTGGCCACAAACTGGGGCTGGGGCGTCCGGTCCATTATCAAGGACTACCGACAGGATGAGTTAAAAACCGTCGTACCGTATGATACTGCGAAAACGCTAACAGCTGATGGGTATAGCGACGGTACGATATTGTATTGCGGAAATGCGGACGGGCCGGTGACAGGCATACGTCAGCATTATGTCGATAGAGCGATGTGTATGGAGGAGGAGGCAACCGCGAGGCAGACCCGAAGCCGGGCGACGCGCGGAACCGTCGAATCCTGGAATTGGAGGCGGGGTTGGAGGCACTGCGTCTGGCAGCCAGTGCGCCGGTGAGAAATTTTTCGGATCCGGACGGACCGATGGTGGTCGAGGAGAAGACTGCAGCTGGGGCCCAGAGTGGGAGAGTGGCCGCCACGCCGAGCGGCGTGGAAGAACATGGGCGCAAAGGACCAGCCCCGCTTAGAAGAGGCTGCAGCGGTCAGGAAGGAGGGGTAGGGTGGGGCAGGCCTGACCCGATACACCCCGAGTGGGTTTGGAGCCAGGCGCTGTTTCGGATGAGGGTTGACGACGGGGTAGAGAAGCTGAGATTAGAGTATGGTGGTAGGTTGGACTTCCTTCCGATGAATTTATGTGCCAAAATGTAAAATTTAAGATGGCCCGACACGAGTGTGACGGGTGCCCGGGGAAGAGGGTGCGTTCGAGGGGGTGCATGTGTTAGGACGACCCATGCAGGCATGTGATCATAAAGACACCGAAGTTGGAGACGGGCTTCCTAAAAATGGGAGCAACCATGATTACTCCTTAGGCGGGAATTCTGCTACTGGGAGACCTTTTACGGATATGTACCGTACAAAGGAATTGATGTGTTGCGGCCGGAGGTAAAAACTTGGCTACGCGAGCCCTTGGACTTGGGAGGTCCATTGGCAGGTACCCGGGCTTGTTATATAATGAGGTCTTGAACTTTATGGAGAGTGAGTGGAGAATGCCCAGACGGTTAGTGAGTGTGGAGGAATGGGTACAGAGTGGTAAGTGGATGGAAGGAAAAGCGGGTGCAGGACAAGAGATAAATTTAACTATCGACGGGCGTAATAATCGTGTAGGGTCGAAGCCCGTAGATGGCGTGTTGTTGAGTGACTCGGCAATGATATCGGAGTTACGCCGCCCACCCGGGAAAGGATGGTAATGCAGAAGAGCGAGACCGCGAAGGTGAGGCCGGTAGTGGAGACAAGCAATGAGGTGAATCGAAAGATGAACTACCTCGAGACGGGCCTAGAAGGGAGCAGGCTGAGTACGCTTTTCGCAGGGGAGAGGGGATGAGAGAATTGATATGGATCTGATAGAGGCGGTAAGGAGCCCTCTGTTACTGAAGGTTCCTTTGGACCAGGGCGGTTTCGACCAGCATCAGAGTGGGGTTCGTCCAATACATCATCGACACGTAC